AGACGGGTGCGTGGCCCGGGATGCGGCGCAGGTAGACGCGGGCTGGCCTGCTGCACGGGGCTGGGGCCAGCGCTCTGCAGGGCCCCGCTGGGAGGTGAACGGTTTTATCCGTCAGTGCCCTGCAGGCTGCGGGGTGCACAGCCGCTGAAGAGCAGTGACTCGAGCCGCTGGGAAAGGGTAGCTGGGCGCGGCGCGCTCCCGGCACGGGAGTGAAAGTTCCCAGCTCTTCTGCAACGCTTATTACCTGAGGGATTCCGATCCTCTGATTTCCAGTCCCGCAGGCAGAGGCTGCTCCGGCCCGCAGCGAAGCTAGACATACGCCTTATACTGCAGAGCCTGGTGTAATTGCTAGGATTTCTAACGGTTATACAGTTACATTTTTAATCAACTTTATACATCCCAATTCTGGGCCAACTTCTGTAGCTGCCGGAGATAAGCTTTTAAGATGAATCAGAGTTCTTCTTCAGAGTGTCTGTCACAAGCCAGTAAGTTTCCTGTCTACATTCAAAAGCTCATCTTTCTCATCAACATAAGTTGGGGCAACAGAGATTGCCTCACTCACCTTGTCGCCTTAATATCTTGGGACCAACAGGGCTACAAGCCTGTATATCCCATTGCCATTGGTTTAGCAGTAGTTCTGCAAATTTTAAATGAATAATTTCAGAAAATGTCAGTTATTATCTGGTAGCTTGTTTTAAAGTGTACTGTGATGAACTAAAAATAATCTCTTCTTAGAGCTCATGGAAATTTGTGCCATTTTTTCCTTGCAGCTAATATTATAAAAACTAGAGTAAAATCATAATTTAATGGAAGGCATCGAAGGGAGTTGGATTGTTTTCATAAACCAAGCCAGGAAAAGTAACAAGCCAGATCTCATCCGCTGTAAATCAAATAAGTCGATTGGCTTCAGTTTAGTTGTGTTGATACATATCAACTGAGGATTTGGTCCAATGTATGTTTGCTACTAATTTGTGATTCTTCATTTTTCACACTCCAGTAGATGACAATCTCAGTATAAAATGCATGTTAAAACTAGGCCCGCCCCTGTCTACCTGCACTGCATCCCAGGCCACGCACCCACCTGCGCGCTAGCAGCACAGTATAAAATGCATGTGAAAGCTAAACTGGTTAACTGACTAACTAGTAAGCATCACCCTACACAAGTGATGCTTACCAATTCCAGTTAACCAGTAGGGGTTGGAGCAGGTAGACCCGGCCCCCCTGGCCCAGGTTATACACCGGCTCTCTGGCAGCACTTTCTGGCTCCACTTTTGGGGAAACAGCTTTGCTGTGGCAGCAAAGCCTTTTCCCCAGTAACAGGACCAGAAACTTTTGCTGATTCCATTCCTGGGGAGGAGGCTTCACTGTGGGCTCTGAAGTATAAAGCTTATTTAAGCTTTATTCTGCAGAGTCCGCAGTGTGTAAGCACTAGGATTTTTAGCAGTTACATGGTTACCTTTTTAAACAAAGTTTTACATCCCCAGTTAAAACTGTATATTAACTCTTACCAATGACAATTTAGATTTTTAAATACTAATTTAATTTTAATTGTCTAACTTATTTTTCACCAATGTAAATTAGGGACCATTCGTGTGTAGTTGTTTACACGATTAACCAATAAGCCTGGGCTCATCAGTTAACCTTGACAACTACATGCACCTCCCTCCCTTGCTGCCTCTGTACAAGGAGCTAGTGCCCGTGGGGAGCCAACTTTTAAGCTGGCTTCTACAGAGCTGCCTGCCCTCCCACCCAAACATACATCTATCATGTTATATGATGGTGATGCTCCTCCTCAAACAGCTGCATTTTCATGTTGTATGTAAAATACATTAATATTGTAAATTCTAATAAGAGAACATTTCAACAACTTCCCTAGTATTGGATACATAATAGTATTCATTTTCTGAGTGCTGTTATATAGTGTACTACTTAGATTTTGTTTGTTTTATACAGTGTTCAAATGGTTCTCTATTTAGTATTTCTGATATTTGAACTGTAAAGCAAAGCTGAGCTGCAAAAGCCTCGGTTAAACCATAAATGGGTCTGTAGTACGATACTCATCCTCAGGAACTATATACAGTAAACTTCTGATAATCCGGCACCTTTAGGACTAAGGGGGTGCCGGATTATCAAATATGCCGGACTATCAGAAGGGGGGGCTATGAGGGGTCTGGAGTGGGGTGGGAGGGGATGCCACC